TTTTATATCACAAATTGTTTTTTCATTATATACATAAAACATTATGTTTATTAAAAATATATTGTATGAGATTAATACAAATATACTATATGTGTTTATTACAAGTATGCGAGTTTTTTAATTTATAATGGTATCTTATAATGTCCCCATGGCAGAGTAGAATGATTGGTAGAATCAGGCACAATGTATCGCTTATCATCGTACGGACTTAGAGCGAGCTTCGTCTCGGATATTGTATACACTTCATGCAACTTTGATCTTATGCAAGATTGCTGTCGCGTCATTTCGGTTTCGTCCAGCAGACATCGCACGTAATCGTTAAATGTTATCGATTTTGCTACGACATTACTCTTAACACCTTTTACCTTTTTTGTATCTTTTTCACCATCAATATGCAAGGCATACATCTTCAGGCTTTGCTCTAAGCCCTACGAATTCGGTCATGATTGCACCATTGTTTTCGTCCTTCATCAGGCCTGAAACCTTTTTATTAGCGAGCGGAATACCATACACATTATCAACCGCGTAATCGCTCGTATCAAATTTCCTAATATCACGCTTCATAATTTCATAAACATCATCGTATTCGATGTGGTAAATAAGACTATCAGTATCGGTGTACAATTACTTTACACTTTTCTTGAAAAGAAGGTAGCATGTAGTCGTGATGAAATTCGTACAAACAAGTCTTGGATATGTCGAGAATACACATACCCACGTAGATTGGTTTGTTAAACTTGACCTCCAGTTTGCGCATTTCTACCGCGACCAGATTCTCCGAAAAGATGCTACGACTGTGAAAATTTGGTTTCGCGATCATTGCTTCAGCATCAAATCTACCTTCCCATTTTGTTAAAAACCGCACATCGACGTAATTGTGCACATTCTTTATGGTTTTGCCAAATACGAACAAAAAATATTATTCATTAATTTGTACAAATTTTTTTCAAATTCATTCGTGGCTAATGTTCGAAATTTCGTATTTAGTTCGATATAATCACGAAGCCATGGAGATTGCGCAAATTGCAATACGCGGTGAATCTTTGAGATACGGAGGCCGTGACGAGTGCACTGTTGTAGAGTGCGATAATGTATGACGTAACGCTTCTTATCGTATACGGTTGCGAGGAGCTTGTCCTGCCG